ATATTAGAAGTATTATGTAATGCAGAATTTTAGATAGAGAAAAATTTATAGAACAAAGTTAAATTCATGGTAGCTTGGGTATAAGTGATCAGGACTTTTTTCCCCTTCCCACAAAACACATCAAATCCAAACCAAAGCTGAATGAACCTGTAAATTATTTTAACTGTTTAAAAACAATTTCTAAAATAATCAAGAAGCCAATACTCCTCCAAATAAGCAAAGTTCACAGCAGTTAAAGAAAAACAACTCATCTTGATGGAAACCTAAAGCCTCCATTAAAACAAAAGATTAAAGCATATTGAAGATGGTAGTCATTAGTATTTAAAAACTACGAAACTGGGAATTGTAGAAAGAATAAGCAAACAAAAAGACACACAAAAAATGGACTGAGGTAAAGATGACATATATTATGATCAAAATAATTTTTAAGAATTAGAACAATCAATATTTCAGAAATCTCAAATAAACCTAACAATATATAGGAAAAAACTTAGAACAGGAAACAGACTGCAACTTGGATAACCAGAGGCTGAAACCCAGGTGTCAGTCCAAGAGAAATTAATGCAATGGTTGACATAGAACACAATTAGCAGCACTGATGCCATTTTTTCCATAAAAGCATGCTGGTTACCACCTATGTCAAACACCAGTTTTGACAAAAATAAAATATTGCTGGTGTGATGTATTTGTTATTACTACAATTTCAAGAGTATGAAAACGGGTAGACAAACAATCTGAAATAAGCAAGAATGCTAATTTACATGAGCTATTTCCCAGTGACAGTGACTACCAGTAATATATTCTTGTCCTTGCAGTGCTACAGAATCCCACATGTACTGAGGGATAAAAGCATTTAAGGGCAGTTGCTATGAAATATGTGATACACTGTGAATGTATTTTTTGCTTATGTTGTGGTTAATTGTTACATAACCACTCCTAAGGAACTCAAGAGATACAAAGTCATCACAGAGCACTGGAAATGGATGCCACAAATGCGATGCAATCAGTGAAGAATCAGCATGAAGCGCATGTTTCTGCTAAGAGTCCTGCACATATTATTTACTTTGCCCTCCTGAGCTATCTAGTATTTTTATGTAACAGACATGACAGCATTTAATAGGACACAGATCAATTGGACTGAAAATTAACAAACAGTAAAGGATCTGATGAGGTACATTGGCTGTGGGAAAACTCTAGTCACAACCAAGTGTCAATTCTTATCTCTAGGTACAAAGGACACAGGCCATACTTACAGAACAGAAGGGTCTCTGAAAAAGGCTTGCATCATGTTAGACAAATCAGTCAAACATGAAATCTCAATGCAATGCTGCAGTCAAAAGCGTTAACAGAATCATTTGTTATATGAACGGGTAGATATATAGCATGAACAAGTTTTAATTGTCATTGGCGCAGTTGCTACTGGAGTTTTAAACTCAGTTCTGATAGCTAAGATTCAAGATGGATGTTAAAAAAATCAGAGAGAGCGTACAGGGAAGTATCATAACAAGAACAAAAAATAGAAAAATATGCCCAACGGACACAGTGTCCTCCTTATTTACATTTAAGAGACCTTTCTGGAGTGAACTTGATTGCTTTATGTATGCAGGAAAAAAACCCCGCTTTGTTAAACAGCTCTTCAGTACAACATGAAAATAAGTTGTAATGATCAAGACAGACAGGTAACAGGAAAGCAGCAGAGTAGAGTAAAGGTGCAGAAGTTTACACACTAAATTTTCTAAAAATATGCTTTAGCTTGCCCAGAAGTCAATACAGAGCAGCTTAACATTTTATGCAGGAAATCATACAGGTAACCACAAGGACCCTTCCAGATTCCTAGGTGTTGCTGGTGAATGCAATGAAGACTCTCCTGAATCACTGGCCTTCTCATTTCAAGTGCACATGCCCTTTAGTCATAACATTTTCACAACATTATGGCAACAATTATCTCAGTTATTTGCACAGAACAGTAGTATGAGGCAAATATTTATATATAATTGTGTATATATATTATAAAAACATTACCTAAAATATGAATATATATAAAATGTATTTACATATAAATACAATGGTTTTTATGCTTCTGGTGAAGTTTAGCAGGTAGAACACAGCGAGCTTGCTGCTGTCAAGTGGAAGTCCAGGTGACAGGCAGCAAACACAAGCAGGATACATTGTGGTGTTACGCCCGAACCTTGCCATTTCCTTCCTTAACCACACAGGATCCCACAGACCAATAAGCAAAAAAAAAAAAGTTAGATTAGAAAGAGACTTTATTCAGTAGTTTATAAGGAAAGGAATAAAAAGTAGAAGGACAAAGAACAGAGATATCAAAAAGTTGAAATGGGCTGCAGAACGACACCTACGGCAGTAGCAGTTGCTATTTTATTCAGTCTCACTATTATCTTTTGGCGTTTGGTAGTGATGAAAACTGTGTGTTGCCAATGTTGCTACGTATCAAACCAGACCAAACTAGCAACTGTGTTGGATCAGGAATGCATGCTTCTGAGGAGCCAGGTTTACATCTGACACACAAACAGTAAGTAGCGGATTCAGCCATCACAGCCAATACCGGTGGCGCAAAGCAAGTTTCACAGGGGTACAGCATACAGCAAGGGAGCAGGTAATTCAGTCACAGTTAGGACAAGAACTGTACTAGACTACAAAGGCTGAGAAGCATATCTGAAAAGCTAAAAATAAGACTATCAGGTTCAAGTGTCCTAGGATAAGACTATTTTCACTTCAACAGGTAGAACCAGAAATCACTTGTAAATACAGCTGATGAGTCTACAAACATTCCTTTTTCTTCCTAAAACCAGCATATTAATTAGTCATGTTTATTTTTACTCTGGTAATTCATTCATGCTCCAGCACAGCTATATTTCTACAACATCTCTTAACATAGAATGTGCTCCTATAGTTAAATGTTGGTTTATTAATGAATTGGCAACATGAATGTTGCATTATGTCAGTCTTACTGTGTCACCATGACCTAGAGCAGTATCACCTCAAGACATTTTCTAACCTGTGCTGATCCTTCAGGTACACAGTTAAAAACTACCTAAAATAAGAGTTGCACCATGAATCAAGAACAATTCCCAAATACGGTTCGCTACGTCGCTCCCCAACAGTTCTTGCAGGACCACAGCCTGGGGGCAGAGCACAGCCGAAAATGGCCTGCGCTGCATGGAAACAATATGCAAAGCGACTATCAGACCACACAGAAATTGTGCATCTATACAAAAATCTTTCAGACAACTTCCTTCAGGCTAAACCAGCTTGTTCAGTTTATGTCAAATACGTCTTAAAAAAAGAAAGAAGAAATCTGTATTCATTATTGGAGATGATTTAAAAAAACCTTCAGAACTGACCACCACTGAAAACTATGCTCTGCTCTGTCTGTATATAAATTGAGCATGGTTATTTACAAAGCACTTCAAAAAGTTTCCAATTCAGAGACTTAAAAATATATTTTTGAGTGTAAGCATTTCCTACATTAAATATCAAGTCCATACTGTATGCAAGTTGTTATACGATACTCAGTAAGTCATACTATATCTGGAAAAACCAAAGCATTGGAATAAAAACAAGAATTTGAGTTGTAAAAAGCCAACTGAATGACATGAAATACAACAGTATTTCATTCCAAATCAGAAAGCATATACTTCAGTACCTTGAACAGTAGAATTATCAATAGAAAATTATATAATTTACTAAAGACTCATGTTAAAACATTATGACTTTTCAAAAACTCGAAGATGTGTGTTTAAAGTATTTCAACTAACAAGTGAATTACAAACTAATCGCTATTACCAAAATCATATTGCTGCAGCTTCCAGAAGCAAATATTCATCCTATCTACCTGTTCTAGTGCATCTTCAAGACTGATTCTCCATCTCTATACATTTGTGTTCCTAGTCAAACACATAGGGAACCCTCTTAACTTACATTAATCGATTTTTTGAGGTTTTGTTTTGGTTTACATCACTTTTTCTTTTAAAGTGCATTGTAAAAATTTGAGGGGTTTTTGTCATTTTGTTTTTTGAAAGGTGAGAGGACACTAGGTGTTCTATTACCAATTAATGATTAAGAAAAAGAAATTGGTACATAGGCTTAGGAACATTATTATTCCACAAGAACACTTGCCTGCTCCTCTTTTTTATTAGTATCACCACTTTCATTATTCTTTCAGTTTTTGCTGCTGCTGCTAAGAGTTAACAGAATTCCTCCTTCCTGAAAAATTTGGAAAATATGGTGAACTACTAACGTACACTGGAGCTAATACACCAAAAACATTTTTTTTTAAATCTAAAGTGTTAGGTGATATAAGTAACAATAAAAATACGAATATTTATTTCCAAATTCTTATTACAAATCCGAAGTTCTCAACAATCATTGCACACAATTTACAAGGTCCTCACAAGCAGGATACCGTACGACATTATGTAATGATTTCTACCTGAATGACTGGCTAACACACTTTTTTTTAACCTGTATTTTGTCAATGAACTCACTATAACCTGGCCAGAAGAAAGAACTTGATGTTTCTGTAACATTCCACCCTATTTTTTCATTACAACTTTTTCATCTAAATGAACCAGATATTCTCAGAGAACACCACATATGCACAGTTGCTCACCCTCCTTCTTGCCTACTTCGAGAAGGAAAATATCATAAATAATGCCAGGAGGGTGTTAGTAAGTGTATAAATATTTTTACATGCTAACTTATAAAGAATCACCTTGATCTTTTGAAGATAGACATCAGAGTTCCATTCCTTAAATATATAGGAGTATTTGCTCATGTCAAATGCATGCAAATAATTTGATTATTAACAATTAAAACAGTATCGTTTTTGTGGACTGCATAAATTCTTCATAGCGAGCTCTTTAGGAAGCAGAATCTTTGCTTCATTGTAAAACCTTAGTTTAAGTTAAATATGCAAGTTATTTTCCAAAATCCAGAGTTAGCAAGGATTAATAACACAAAAAAATGTAGTTTCTCACCTTTGTCTTTATGTAGAATGGCGATGACTGGTGAATGGCCAAGTCCATGAGGCTATTGGAATTTGTGACACTGTTACTGTTAGCATGTTCATCTTCTCTACTGCTGTCATCAGACTGATCAAAATCATCACTCTCCTGATCCATTTCCTCCTCCTCTTCCACCTCCTCCTCTTGATCACCAGCATGTTCATCATCTTCTTCCTCTTGGTTACAAGTGGATTCTTCATCCACTGTAATAAGTCTATTGTTATTTTCTTCTAACTGTTCCTGCTGAGACTCATGCCTGTCATCAAATCCAGGTTCTTCTCCTCCTATCTCCCCATTCCTCCCAATGTGCTGCTCCTCTTGTTGTCGTCTTTGCTGCTGCTCCTCCTCTTCTATGACTCGATTCATCTGCTCCTCATCTACTTGGCTTGAGGAAGCATTACCTCGAAGAGATCCACCAGTTCGTCGCCTCTTGCTGCCCACAGAGAGCAGTTCCTGATTCATTTCCAAAAGCCAGCTTGCTACTTCTTGGACCTTGGCTAGGCTATCTGAAGATGCAAATGCTTTCACATTCTAAGGAGACAAAAAAGGAAAAAGTGGGAAATTACAGAAGTTACTTTTTTTTTATTATATAAAGTATTAAAAACTTATTTCATTTTATTACTCCTGACAACTTCAAATTTCAAGAAACAAGGAATAATTTCTACTTGACAGACAACTGGAAAAAACCCAGACTGCAGACAACTTTGTAGCAAGACAGTTATTTCTTCTTTCAAACAGTCTGATCATGATCTCTGTAAGCACCATATTCTGCAAAATTCAGAACTGCTTGCCCTCCTAGAGAATCCACAAGAACCATTAACATACATGTTAACAGAAGATCCAAGTATGTGACATTACTTGCTAAAAATTGGACAAAGATGATTTTCAAGTTGCATTCTATTTTCCCACTCATTTGATTACAGACTTTATATATTATTCACAAATTATGAACTGCTTTTGGTCTTATGCCTTAAGAGCAGGCATATTTTCAGGTATAATTGAAAGTTGGATTTCTTGTTACTATGGTTTTCTTTTAGATAAATGAAAAAGAGAACACCCACTAAAGAATATAGCCTTATCAGTTCCAAGTCTTAAACTGGCCACAGAAATGTCCAGTGGTCAAAAGTAGACATCGCTAGGCAGCCCGCGCAGCCCGGAAACGGCACATACCTCGCCTAGCAAAAAAATCACTCATAGCAGTAAAGTTCTCCAAACTCTAAGAAGCTACAATAATTGGTTAAATGAGACTCTGAGAAGTTAAAAAATTGCCAAATTTAGGTGCATATTAACAGAAATTGAAAAATACTAATGCAATTTCCAAATTGTCCACACATTTGGCTACACATATGCGTGCAAACAGCATACAAGAACAGATGGATATAACAGAGTCTAGCTAGATCTTAAATTTGGTATTAGATTTCCAGCTGTACAACCTTTGATGCTGGCACACTGTGACTCCAGTTCCCCTAGATTCAAGTGATGTGTTGAGTAGGTGAAGTCAGACATGAACTCAAGTAGTCAGATTCACAGGTTGCACATGAAAATCTGTGCAAAGAGAAAAAACCTAGCTTTTTCATCGTGTATAGAACCACTGTCCTCAGGTGTTCATAGACCACACCACACATGCAGCAGGCTACACTGTGAGAGAGAGATTCAGAAAGCACAATACAATACTGGAAGGGAGCAAAACTACCGAGTCTCCTTGGAGTAGGAGCAAAGGATGTACGTTTCCATGAGTACTTCAACACAGGAAGATATTCTCCTAACCTCTCCCACCCACCTCTCCTCCTTTTTTAGGAAGTCCTCTATGTCTTACAGTTTAAAAAAAAAAAAAAAGTTTTTTTTTTTCAAAACAAAAAACCTAGAGCCTTGGATGATGGAGGTGTTGAACAGATAAACCCCAACTTTGCTCCACGACAACTGTAAAAACATTCAGCTTACTGGTGAGGAGGGAAGAAAGTACCAGAAACAGTAACTCCAAGATAATTTCCATTGTGTTGTACCATAAAAGCCACAGAAACACATTTACAGCTGTTTTTCAAGTCTTGCACTGAGAAGGATTCATAGATGGGATTCTGCACACTTGTCTCCTCTTCCTCGGGGAAACATTACTTACATCCCAAAGACATGGTTCTCAAGTTTCCACATATCTACCCAGATGACAACTGCCCCCTGTCGTGGGCTCGGTAACAAAGCACCACGAAGCCGCTCGCTCACTCCTCCCCCCTGGCCCCAGTGGGATGAGGAGGAGAAAATATAAAGAAATGCTCATGGGTCGAGACAAGGACAGAGAGGGATCACTCACCAATTATGGTCATGGCCAAAAGACAGGCTCAACTTGGGGAAGAAACAAAATCAATTTAATTTACTACCAACCAAATCAAAACAAGGATATTAGGAAGTAAACCCAAACCTTAGAACATCTTCCCCCCAGCCCTCTGCTCCTTCCTGGCTCAACCCCACTCCCGGTTCTCTCTCCCTCCTCCCCATGGTGGCACAGGGGGACGGGAATGGGGGTTGGGGTCAGTTCATCACACCTTGTCTCTGCTGCTCCTTCCTCCTCAGGGGGAGGACTCCTCACTCTTCCCCTGCTCCACCGTGGGGTCCCTCCCATGGAAGACAGTCCTACACGAACTGCTCCAGCGTGGGTCCTTCCCACGGGCCGCAGATCTTCAGGCACAGACTGCTCCAGCGTGGGCTTTCCCATGGAGTCATGACCACCCACAGGAGCATCTGCTCCCCCGCTCCCCTGCATGGGCTGGGGGGACACAGCCTGCCGTCTCACCAGGGGCTGCAGGGGCATCCCCTCCTCCGGCGCACCTCCTCCCCTCCTTCCTCACTGACCTCAGTGTCTCCATAGCTGCTCCTCTCACATTCCAATCCCCCTACTCACTGCCGGTTCCCCTTCCTAAATCTGTTCTCCCAGAGGCGCTACCACCGTCGCTGATGGGCTCGGCCTGGGCAGAGGTGGGTCTGACTCAGAGCCAGGGAAGCTTCTAGCAGCTTCTCACAGGAGCTGGCCCTGCGGCCCCTCCCCCACTACCAAAACCCTGCCACACAAACCCAAAACACCCCCAAATAAACCCCTATGAGCTCAGAAGCTGAAATATTGTTCCAAAGAAAGTGTCCACTAGCAATTAGCTCTAATCAGTGAATCAGAAGCTAATAGTAAAAGACAATTAAGCTCCACACGTCAAGGCAAGGACATGATGGAAGCAAGCAGAGGCTGTGCTGACTCCTGCTTTTACCAGTGGAAAAAAAGCATTATGGCACTGGGGTGCACATGACCCAAACCACAAGCTAATGACTCCAACCTTGAGTGCAAGGGGCATCAAAACTGAATGTGTTTAATTTTCTATATATAGTAAGCAGCACTTGAGAAAGAGTGCACTCTTCATGGCATCTAAGAGAAATGTTTTCACTTAACATTTTTTCCCAAAGCCTGGAAACCTTAGCATATTGGAGTGATGTGTAATAATTCCATTTCATCAAATGTCAAATTTGGTTGCATATATAATCTGAGGTTAGTACAACCTATTTATCAGGCTTGTGACATAGTTTGGGCCTTGAACATGACAACACTACATCTTATTTTCTCATGAAAAGAGAAAAGATTTGCATTTTTTTTAAGCATTAAATCCCATAAAAATCAGTAATTAAAAAAAAAAAAAAAAAAAAAGACCAAACATGAGATTTACATCTTCACAATCTAGCAATTTTAGCTTCCACCACAAATGATTCTCTAAATAGCCAGGAATGAAGCTTAAAAGTTTTAATCGCATTTTTTCAGTATTAAGAGCATTATTTTAAATATATGCATCAATTATTGGTTTAGGACTTACTTGATAAAACTGCAAATGCTGCATTTGTTTCCATAATTTAATACATACTTTCAATTTGTATCTATAGGCAACCAACATGAAAGGTCAGCATTGAAATACTTAAGTAATAAAATGCATGATTCTGCCAAATGCTTAAGTGACAAAGATAACACTATTGTTACTGTTAATATACCCAGATGAAATACCAGCCAATTAAAAAAATGAACATACAGTAGAACTATTCTATATTTCTAATTATTCCTACATTTTTGTAGTGATCAATTCAGAAAATTAGCTTCAGTCATAAGTGATTTCAGTTTTACTCTGTATTTGCATGAATAAACTCAGCGTGGTTTTTCCAGAAGCCTGTAAAATGCATTATCAAAATTTAATTACAAGCAGTGCTACATCAGAAATCATCAATATGCAAAGAGGTGATGCATTCACTAAAGAACAGATGGATGTACATTATCTGAGAGATTTGAAACATTAAAGCTGCCTTCTGTCACGTAAGTGCTTTCAGAATTAACTACTGTCAGCTAATACACAGGATACAATCATTTCCATATATAAGGTAGATGAGAAATAAGACAGGATTATTATTTTGCAGGAAAAAGTGTATTTACAAATCAACTACCAGAGAACTAAAATCCTGTGTTTTCAGCTAGTACAGTGTCTCCTTCATTTATACTCTCAGAGTCCAAAATTACTCAAATCAGCTAAACCCCAGCAGATCCATAGAGGAAAGCTGTTGCTTTCCTACCCACCTCAGACCGCAAAGAGATTTTTTTAGACAGACACCAAAACATTGCAGTGCAATGGCAATGCTTTGCATAAACATGCAAAACTCATTAAACTTGGTCAACTAGTCTAACATGGCAACTCACAGGTAAGTTTCATAACACATGCAGCTGGTCATACGGAAAAGCAAAATACAAGGAATCCCTAAGGAAAATGGAAGTCCCTGGACTGATCCAACTGTAAATTCAGAGCTGATGAATGCATCCCCCATCTATATTGAAGATTAAATGCTGCTTAAGCAGAATTCTTCAGCTTTATCCATTAAATTTGCACATAAGATAGATTATAAAAATAACCCAGAACAACAGTTGCTCAAAACCACCTGTAAGAAATGCCAAGCAACACAGGGAAACCTTAGAGAAAACTCCTCAGGTTTATCTATAACAGGTTGCATTGTGTACTGACAGAGAAGGACAACCACTTCACTTGCTTTACTGCTGAAGTATCTCTGTCCCTCTAGTAGATACAAAAGTTGTTAAACATTTTTAACCTATAAAAACATATAACTATAAGAAAATCAGGAAATATCCATCAGTACTGCTCATTTTTATTATTCCTTTTTTATCACTTGAAACTGTAGAGAAAAAAAAGGGAAATTAGGCGCGTGCAGAGAGGTGAGGGTGACAGGTAGAGAGTGGGGGGGCGTTGTCGGGTTTTTTTTTAAAGTATAGCAGAACTTGAAAAGGTTTTAAAGAATTAACTTTGAAATTAGAGAGTTAGACTGACTTGGATACTAACCTAAGTCATGCTAATACTGATCAGGACAGCAATTAGTGAAAGGTCACAATAGTTACAGTCACAACATGGTTTATGGGCAGTGGACGCTCCTGGAACAAATCTTTTTGAGATTACAGATTTGGTGGACAAAGACAATTGGACTAACACAAAAACTTCTGTAGATAT